CCCCCCACTCCAGCAACCCTCAGTTTGTTTCCTGAGATTAAGAATTCTTCATACCAGTGAGGTCATATGATACATGTCTTTCTCTGATTGACTTATTTTGCTCAGCATAACACCCTCCAGTTCCATCCACGTGGTTGCAAATGGCAAGATCTCATTCCTTTTGATGGCTGCATAATATTCCATAAAATGGAAGGTTTTTATAGGAAGGAGGGTGGGACAAAGAGTTATTAGCAAAAGAAAAAAAATTGTTACATTTTGGTGGGGAGGGAGGGAAAGGCAGTTTTTGTCATAAGGATGAACTCATTAGTGCCCTAAGGAAATTTCAGATGTTACAAGGCCACATTCCTGGGATAGGTTGAAACTAACTAAGTCTTGGTTTCCTATGGGGGGGTGGTGAGGGGCGGGGGCAAATGACTCCATTTTGGGCTTCTTTAACACCTTAATTTTCACCAAAAAGCCTCTGGAAGAGGGAAATGATCATACTCTACAGATAAGGAAACCAAGGCTTAGAGAAGTTTGCTCAAATTCCCACAGTGTGTTAAGTGAAAGATCAAGGATTAGGTGGAGGGGGGCTTTTCGGAACCGGAGTCTCCTGATTTCCAGCATACCCCCCTCGTTTCTCTTTAATAATGATCTCTCCTGGTTCTCCTCTCTTACAAGCTCCTCTTCCACCAGCCTGGCAGGTGCTGGGTCATCTGACCTCTCTTGCATTCTCTGTGCCCTCATTATCCTGTAGAGCTGCTCCAGTCTGATGGCTTCAAATACCAACAGTATATACTGAAGGCTCCTGACTTGGTAACTCTAGTCCGACCCTGGGATGCAAATATTATTGAACCCCAGACCTGTGTATCCAATTGTTTACTCAGCTGCCATTTGCATGTGTGATGGACATCCTGCACCTCACCTGCACCAACACAAAGGAACTTCTGACATTCACCCAACCTGTTCCTTCAACAGTCTTCATCCCAGCAGTTGATAGCAACTCCTTCTTTCTAGTTGCTCAGGCGAAAAATCTGGATGTCATTGTTGTGTCTTTTTTCACCCAAAACCCAAACCCAATCCAATCCTGAATTCTGGTGTCTCTGTCTTCAAAATATATCCAGAATTGAGCTGCTTTCAATACCTTCACTGCTATAACCTCCACCAAGCTGCTGTCATCTCCTTGTTGGCTGGGGCTTCTCTGGGAAACCACCCAGCAGGGACCAGTGTGCCCTTGAGCCTGGTTGTATTTGAAGAGCTCCTTCTAGGAAGAAGGGCGTACACACGTGACATGGAAAAGCCCCGTCTCAGCAGGGAGCCCTGCTGCACTTGGCAAGAACGCGAGGGAGGCTGGTCACATGTGTGGCCCAACTGCAGTAACAGCAGTGGCCCATCTCCCACAAAGGGACCCCGAACAATGGTTCTGTCCACCAAGCCTGAGACTTTGCTTTCTGTTTCCTTTGGGTTCCATGGGAAAGGAAACTCTGGGGATTCCCATTCCTGGGTTTGCAGAAAACATCTTTGTTAAAAGCGTGACCAGGACCATGCCCCACCCTGCATGCTGTGAGTCCAGGGGCAGGTCAACAGCTGGCTTTCTTCCAGGCAGTCTCAGCTTGTGGGGCCGAAACACAGCACGTGTACATTTGCTGTTTTTATACTTAGAACGGCTTGGCTCTCGCTGCATTTCCTGCTTGATCACGGCTGAGGGACTGAGGCAGGGGGGCTGTTGCCCACCCGGGCACCTGAGAAGGATATCCCGCTCCTTCTCCACAGCTGCAGGGTGCCTGCGTCCTGCTCACCCTGGCACACATTGTGCCTTGCTGGCTCCTCCGCAAATCACCTGGTCAGGCTGGATAAGCCTTGTGCTTTGTTTCCCTGGGACTAAAGGACCAGATGTATCCTGGGTGAGCACAGAGGGAAGGCCTTTAATCCATTTTCTGGTAAACATTCCTGCAGGTGGCATATGGCTATCACATGAGAAAAACAAGCTGTTTTTTTGGTTCTTTCTGATAATTTGTTCTGGGCAAACCACCCTGTTTTTCCCGAGTCCAGTCCTTCTTTTGCAATCATGTAGATTTCATCCTGTGCTTATTATTTTCTCTGGTTCCTGAGACCTGGCCTGGGAAGACAGTCCTGTTTTAGGAGAGGACATTCACTCACAGGAATCTGCACTTTGTTTTTGGATGCTTTTATTGCCTGAGATACTAGTTAGTGAGGGAGCACATGAGAAATACTGTCAGCTCTGTAGAGAGAGGAAAATAGAGCTCCCACATAAACCAGCAGAAAACCACAGAGCCTAGCAGAGAAAGTCTGCAATTGTGGTGGCACGGTGAGCTGAATTAGCAGCTTTTCAAATTGCCTCTGAAAAGCAAATATACTGTTGATAAAAAGATTGGCTAACTAACCCCTAGGATGACTGTAGAAGTGTACATTTCTCTCTTTCCTGTGTAACTTACTTGTGATTTTTCTTAGCTATGATATTCAGAAGTTAGTTTTGATAATATCTATTTCAAAAGTGATGCTTATCTAGGCAGGCCCTAAATAATATTGAAACAATTGCAAAAAAGAAAAAAAATCCTAAACATGAAACAACTGTAAAACAAAACCAATGAGCGCTTTTAGAGGGGCTCCTGATCTGATAGCTTCCCATGTGCAGGGCCCCGTCCTGCTCCTAAGCTGGCAGGTGTTTCTCAGGCTAGAAAGCCACCTATTCCAATCTGGGCTCAGCCTCCAGGCCTCCTTCCAGGGACCTACACCAGCTCTATCCTCTGTTGGTCCCCTGACCCTCCCAGGTATCCAGCCTGCTTCTCCAATTGAGGATAACGCTGAACACCTCCTATTGAGGTGAACCGTGGCTCTGTCTTTGTCTGGCAAAGGACTGAGCACCAGCCTGGCAAGATTACTGCCGAATAATGGATTGGCAGTTGAACTAGACCTGAGCTTATAAATATGGGTTGGGAAGTAGAACAACCTGGGGAAGCCTGTTTGATTTGTTTTCTACCCTCTCTGAGGTGCTATTGCTGTCCCATCTGAGCCCCTGCCTGGAAGATTCCTATGGTCCTCCTGATGCTGAGATTCTGTGAATCAGGGTGATCCTATTGCTCATCCTCCAGGCTGCCCACAGACCCCACCAATGATTCTTCCTCTGTGCCCTTTGGCTGCCTTTGTCCTCAGACCCCACACTAGTCCTCAGGACAGGAGTCATGTTGGGGTCCAGAGCAGCAGGCTGTGGCTCAGCTTTGGCCCTTTTGCTAAATGTGGCCACACATGCGGTAGGATAAAAGTTTTGGAGGTTAGAGCTGGGAGTCAGGGTGGACACATAGGCAAAAAGAAGGCTTGGTCCAAACTCCTTCAGTTCAATACAGCGCACCTTTATTGAGCTCCTAGGAAACTAGGAAAGGGAGGGAGAGCAGAGATGACAGATACTGCCGGGGATCTCCCTGGGGCACTGCTGCATGTCTCTGTGACAATGGAGCTAGGCCAGGGAAATCCTGGCATGAAGTTCACCTGGAACAGTGGTTCCACACAGCACGGCTGCTCCCAGGCTCTGCTCTTTATGGGTGCCAGGAAGGAGCCATTGCATGGAGCAGAGCTGGACTGTCTTTTATATTTGGAAGACTTTACAGTTCTTCTCTTTAAATCCACTGTCCACAGGCCCCAGTGGGAAAAGAATTTGGTCTTTAACTTGCTCTGTTTTGGACAAACACTTCACATGACCAATGTAAACTGTTGCATAGTTTTGCAAAGGCCTTCCTGTTCATTCCAGAAATTCTCCACCAGCTGACAAATCCAAATTGTTCTGGCCGCAGGGAATTCAAAGCCCTTTCTCCTCAAATAGATATTTCTCCTCATTGTGCCCCTTTGACGGGAAGTGAAGAGAGTGAAGGAATAAGCCCAGAAAGAGCAAGAGGCACACGGGCATCCAAGGGACAGCTGTGATGGGGACTGAGCATTGCCTTCCCGACCCACTGCCTGAGCCACGGACTCTGCTGCACATGGGCTGGCATCCTTCCAGTGCCATGTGGGCCTCCTCCTCTATGTGATCGAAGTGCCATGTTTCCTGCAGCAAGCTCCTTATAAGAATTCTTCAGGTCCCAAGAGAAAGTTAGAAGCCAGTGCTGCAGAGAGACGATAGGAGGCTCATGGTCTTATCCTGGGTCTGACCTCTGCTGCCAGGGTGCTAGGCTGTGTGATGCTCACAGGGTGGCATCAAAGGCTTGGAGGCCAGGGATGCCACGGGGAAGTGAAGGCCAGAAGCAGGGCACATCCCATACCTGCTGGCAGCCCGTGTTTTTCCCAGCACAGTCTTGAGTAGCAGCATGAGGGGAGGCCGGACAGGGATCTCACGGTTCACGTGGATGAGGAGGTCAGTGGTTCCTGGCCAGGCAGAAACTCTGGGCCCAGGCACTGGGAAAGCAGATAGGGCGCACACCCCATGGGCGCGATCAGGTACTGCTCTCCTGAGCAAGAGAGGTGTGGCATGAACAGGACTGGCCACGCCATCCAGCCACATAATGTGGCCAGTGCCCCAGCTTCAGGGCTGCTTACTGCCCAGGCAAGCCTCACACATAGACCCCACCGAGCAAATTTGTGGCTCCTCAGGCCTGGCTCTGGGCCCGGTGAGTGCTCAGCTTGGAGCCAAGAGCCAGGGACATGGGGCGCATGGTACTCAGGCAGATAGACAGGTAGAAGCGCGGGGGCTTGATTCCCCAGCCGGTGGCTCTCAGTCCGTGTGACCAGTCAGGGCCCGGCCCCCCACACTCAGTGTGCACTGGCAGTTGGGGGGCTTTCGAAGAGGCCGGCGCTGGCTGGCTACTTGGCCTCCACCAGCTGCTCCAGGCGCTGCAGCATCGTCAGACGCAGGGCTTGGAACCTGGAGGGAGACACAGCCAAGAGGACTCACTGACCCCGGAGGACACAAGGAGAGGGGGACAGAGCGAGGGAGCACATAGATGGCTGGGCCAGTAGACCCAAGGCTGATTAGCGGCCACCATCTCTCCTCCGCCAAGGAGAGGGAAGAGCCAGGCCTGCACCCTGCAAGACCAGCGGCTTCGAGGAGCAGTCAGGGCTGCAGACCCTGTCAAGCTTCAAATGCGGAATGTGCTGTTTCTCTTCCCAAGGTTCTTCGGTACAGAGAGGAGCATGCTGGAGGGGACAGGGTGGCCGAGCAGGGATCGGGAAGCCTGCGTTCAGGCTCAGGCTCTTCAGTGACCTGTGCCGCAACCTTCCTTGCCTCAGGCCTCGGTTTCCCCTCTGTGCCCCGAATGGACTGGCCAGGTGACCCCCAGGTCCCCTTCCAGCTCCCAGACCCTACAGCCAACTGCATGGTGGACTGTCCCCTCTGACTGGGGACACTCTGCTGACTTCCCGAATGGAGCCTCACTGCACATTTGGAAGGCTGGGGTGGGGACTGGAGGGAGGGCTGTGGCTTTCCAAAACTCATTCAGCCAGAAACCAGAAACCAAACCAGTCCCTCGACGGCAGGCCCTCTCACAGTGAGCAGACTGCCTCCTTCCCTTCCTGAGGGGGACTCCGCCCCTGGCCCCGGCTGAGTGCCCCACGTGTTCCCCCTACCCCATCCTTCACTCTGCAGAGGGGCAGGCCAATCATTGGCAGGTATAGCTTGGCTAGCCTCACCCAGCCAGGCCTGGCTGTAGCTTCCCCAGGAGCCCGGAGGTGACACCTGCTCACCTTTCCATTGAACAGGTCCCCTGCACCTGAAACGACCAGCTGACATAGAAGGTTCCAACAGCCACTGCTTTTTGGCAGGCTGAGAATTCCCACTAGCAGGAAAGGCCCAGACCAGGCTGAATGTGCCCTGAGCAGGCCCTCTCCTCGGTTGCTCCTCCAGGGCTGTGTCACCAGCAGCGCTCATGACCCTGGCCCAGCGCCCACCCGCGCTCCTGCCTGACTCGCCCGAGCTCAGTTGCAACAGCGGCGCCCCTCCCGTGCTGCTGAGGTGCTGAAGCCAGAGGGTCGGTGTGCCCTGCCTCCTGACCTTTCTGCAGGCTGTCACCCCAGCTTGCCCTCACTACCGGGGGCAGGGGGGTGGCGGGGGGCAGGCCTCCCTGAGCCGGGCCAAGCGCCGTGCCCTGGAGGAGGGGAGAGCTTGCCCAGCCCCGGCCCGGGGCTCTGCCCTACGCACTGGCCCTGACGTTCAGGACCCCCGACTGGCTCTTTATGCTGCTTACTTCGTGGTCAGTTTGATTATTTCTCTTTCCTCCTCTTCTTTTAATTTTTCAACAAAACTGTCCAGCACCGGCATTTCAAATTTAATGTACTGAGCGACCTAGAAAATCCAAGAACATTTTAATGTGCTTTAAATTAGAATCCAAAAATGTGTTTTCTTTTCCTCAGGGCCTCCACAAGCAGCCGATTCAGCCATGTCTTAGAGCCAAGGAAATGGCTGCCCTTCCCCCCACCCACGCCCAACTCTCGCTCTGTACTAGGACGGAGGACAGAAAAGCCCATTCTCGCCTCACAGCCTATTATCCCTGGGAGGAAAGACGAAGCTGGAGATTAGGAAAAGTATTCAGTAGAGAGCAGAACCACACTGGGTCTTCTGGGGGTGGGGGAGGGGAGCGCTGGGAACGCCATTGTTTCCAACCGTGGAATGAAGCCGCGCTAGTCTGTGAATGGTCCGAGGGGTGCAGGGTCACTGGCCTTCACCTTGGGTCCAAACCCTAGAGGCCTTTTCCGTGCAAGGGAGCTCGGCAACATGCTCCTTCCTAGCCCAGGACGCAGGCTGTTGTGGGACTTAGCCACGTTTCCCTTCCACAGGCCCGGGGTAGGCCCTAGTTAAGGGGCCCTGGTGTGGGTCTTTAGTGTAATGACGGCCGAACACACTCTAACAAAGGAAAAGTTTCTACCTGCCTGAGGGGGAAGGCACAGGCAGGGGTTTTTTACGACTCAACTTCCTTTTTCCCCTAGGCCGGTGGCTGGGGCTGGTGGTCCTTGACAGGAGGAAGGAGGGCTGGAGCCATCCCTGTGCTGGGCTTGGGGCCCTTTAGGACAGCTGTGTGAGACGCCACTCCACACGGCTCTGGCCAAGCTCATCTTCAGAGCCCTTGGGAGTCCCCCATGCTGTCGTCCAGCCCCTCCCTCAGGAGCAGGCCTCCCTGAGCCTTGGCCCAGACTCACATCGTGGGGAACTTCCTCGCCCAGGTCGGCTTCCATCAGGAATATCCTGGCGATCTTTTCACATGGCCCGTGCAGGATTCTGGAAATCAGTGGGTACTCACAGTCTTTTAATTTTGTTCGCTCTGAAAAAGAAGGCCATTTATAAAAGTCATGGGCAGTAGGATTGCCCCTCTTTGTTCCAGGATGGGAATGTGGTAGAAAATGGATGTCCAGGGGGCCCGGGAACCTTCTCCAGACCTTGAAGAGAAGGTTGCCCTGAATGATGTGTGATTGTGGCATTCAGCAAAGACAGGTCAGAGAGGAACAGGAGCCCAGGGAGTAGGAGAGAGGGGAGGGTGGACATGGGGAGGCCGGGCTGCTCAGTTACCATGGAGCGGAACCCTGCACAGAGGGACATGTGGGTTCTGCAACCGTTCTCAGGGGGTGAGGGGCTTCAGCTCCAGCTCACAGCCCCTGACATGCACCCCCAACCCTTCCCAACTGAGTGCGGTTGAAGACAGTGGCCTCCCTTGTGAGTTTCGCGGGATTCTGGAAGGGGCAGCGACTGTGCCTGGATTTGGGCCTGGCAGAGCATTCACGGTGGCCCTCAGAGAAGGAGCATGGTCAGTGAGCTTGCCACATGGACAGAGACTTTGGTCTTTATGATCCGGAAGCACAGGCAGACACTTACCCCCAGACTCGTGAACAATGTAGAGCGCAAACTCACTGGGGCCATTTTCCACCTGTACAGACAGGAACAGGAAGTCAGACCAGGGCTTTATGAGACAAGACAGGAAGGGATCCCTGGCAAGAACCACACCCCCAGTGCTGTGCGCACAAGTCCCCAAAGATCCTCCCCTCTCTCTGCTTAAGATCCCAGAGATGCCGCGTCAGCAGAGGAAACTTTTGCTAGACCTTCTAACCCAGGAACCACCAGCAGCTTCCCCGGCCTTTGCCAGCTTCCCCAACAAGACAGCAAACTGCCAGCATCCCGGGGCAGGGCCGCTCATAGCCAGACTTACTCGGAACTTGTTCAGCAGCAGGGTGAGCACGTGCACAGTTGTCATGGTGCTGTTGACCCTCACGTTGGTCACGGACCCATAGGCAGGAGTAAACACCGAGGTCTGCAGAGGGAGGTGAGCCGTTCAGGGCAGGGCCAGAGGGACACGGAGCTGACATCATGCAGGGTCTGGGCACACTGTCAGCCAGACGGTCTGGGGTGACAGGTGACCCTGGGCTCTGGAAGCACCTGTGCCTGTCCAACACAGATCGCACACAGCTGTGCCCACATCTGGTGCACTTGGGGAAGCCATAGCAACTCCTGTCTTACAGAGGCCTGTGAGAAAGATGCCTCCAAAGCTATCAGGGTCAGTTCTCTGACCCTAGGAGCCAATCCCATGGAAGTACTTCACAGGGCGTGTGGGGACCAGTCTCCTTCTCACTCTTTCTTTGGCTCAAATTGCCAAGTGTCTTTTGATTCTAAGACCAAAAGTTCTGGAATCTGTCTGCTCCTCCCTATTCTCCCAGCAGTAGAGGTTCTCAGTTTACACTGCATCAGCGTCCCACCTCTCCCCTTCCAATCTCAGCGCTTTAGTCTTGGTTCCCAGCCCCAGACTCCTGAATCAGAATCTGCATTTTGAGGAAACCACCAGATGATGCTCTCCATATAGTACAATTTGAGAAGCACTGTCTTCTGGCATAGTTCTAGTTAGAAGTATCTGAAGGCATCCCATAGCCTCAACAGTACCATTGCTTCCTCTTCTCACTGCACACGTGATACAATGATTCTCTCCCCAGTGCCCTGGGGTCCAACCACACGAGCTCTTCACTGTTTGGGGGGAGGGGGCATTATACTCCTGCAGGTATCTTGCCTTTGCCTGTGAGACACCATATAGACAGTCAACCAGGGCATCATCTGAGGCTTAATAAGTCCTCAATGAGCACTGGCCAGGTTATAGACCTGCTAAGCACTTCACCTAAAATCTTTGATTTAATCCTTCCAACAGCTTTTTGAAGTACGCTTTTAAGAAAGGACATAGAGTCTTGGAGAGGTCAAGTAGCTTGTCACGGTCACCCATCTAGGAAGGGCAGAGCCATTGGAAACCCCATGCTTTAGCCCCGTGGCACTGAGATCTCCCTGTGATTCTCACTTCCCTGAGGTGAGCTCTTCCTCACTTTCCAAAACTAAATTCAGATTTACACATTCCTCCTCTATGGTCCTAGCTCTCCTTTCCCCAGGATATAACTGGGGCTCAAGAACATGAAGGACTTGCTCAGTGTCCCCAAGTACCGGAGTCAGACTCAAACCCAGACCTGCCTCTTCCATAGTCGCCATGCCAAATGACTCCGGATTACACAGAAAGCCAGACTAGGCTTTCAGTCCCCAAGAAATATGGAATAGAGGAGTCAGGCTGTTTCAAGGACAAGAAAGGTCTTGTCAACAAGACATTATTAGTGTTGCTTCTGGCTGGAGCCTTTTTTTCAAGATGATGCTGACCAGCTCCAAGTACGAACAAAGGCCCCCTGGCTGCTATGCCATCTCTAACCACAGTGGTTTCTCCCTGGTAGAACACATTTGAATCTAACAGCCCAGGACAAAGCAATGGGACAGGTACCAAGGTTTACTGAGTCTGGAAATCACATCGACACTACTGTGAATCAGAATAGTTTTGGAAAATGGTTGAGTGAAGTAATAGTGTGCAGTTCTAAGAAATAAAATCCAGAATAACAACCTCAGGAAGCCAATTCTAGGTATTTTTTTTAACTCGTTGCCTGTGATTCAAGTACCTTCTTACCTGATTTCTCAGGACACGGATTCCGAATGGACTGCCAAGTAAGAGGGAGAAGGAGCCCCTTACTCAGCCAGGAGATGGGAATCAGCTGTCCAACATGCCTAAGATACTAGTTCACATCCTGGATGTCAGTCAGTTTGCCTGGAGGAATGAACCCACCTTCTGTAGGTAAATCTGTCACTGGGAGAAAGAGCCGTTCTGACTGGATTACAGGCTAGTGGGTTGAGTGTCGAGCTGGCTGAGGAGCCCTTCTTGCCAGAGTGGCTCCCATGGATAAAAAGCTGTGACAAAAGTCCTCATTGTTCATTTCTGTTCATTCAAAAGGCTACAGAGTGCTCAGACATCTCCATGTCTCTGGGGCATTTGCAATGACTACAGTAAGGTTGAATGTGCTTAGAGATGAATGATTCCCTCAGAGGAGGGGGTAAATGCGCTGGAGATAAGCTCCACTATTTGTTACCTTGAGTCATGGATCAAAAGCTTCCTTTTTTAGGATCATAGAAATACGAAGAACCTAAACTCATGCAAATATTCTTTTAAAATTTTTGAATAATTCCTCAAAATAGCATATACATAGCTAATACACTTACTGAACACTTTACAGACGAAACCCCTTTGGAACAAGTTTTAAAGAATATCCAAGTCAGATTGTGGGTCCTTTGGCTAATCTAAACGATTCTTAATCTCTACTTAACTTCAACCCTGCCCCCTCTAGGGAAACTACTCTCAAATAGTCCTGGGTTTCCCTGCACTTAGCAAGGATAACCTAGTGTCACCCATGAACATTCATTGCAAACCCAGCCCAGAGTGGAAGGCGGCGGTGGGGAGGGGGGGTGCCCTCTTAGTAAGGCAGGGTCCCTTCTGCTTGCCTTGCTGAATTCTTCACCCCAAAGTCCAGGGTACTCCCCAGAGCACTTGAATGGCCCCTGGCAGGCCTAACCTGTGTAACTGTTCTTCAGGTCTGACCCTGAGAGCTGCCTTTGCCAGGCCCCCTCCCCCTCCCGTGAGTCATCGCCTATCAAGATGGGCAGCTGCTTCAACTGGAAACCTCTGCTTCCATTTCCCAGTGCTGCAGGATGTGGCCCTGTTACAGGACACTCCATCCAGGGCCTCACCCAAATTGCCACTCCTGCCATTTATAGAAACAATCAACTTCTCCTTTTACAGTTTGGTTTGTTTAGGGACTGAAGTCATCTGGGGAAGGAGATTTTTTCCTCAGGTCAGTACAATACAAACTCGGACAAAAGGCTAAGTGCTGGGAACCAGGAGTAGTGCGGGTTCTCTGGGGCCCAGAAACACGTGCCCCTGGGCACACCATAACCTAGGGCTTGCTCTATCCAGGGAGAAGGCCAGCAGCACATCACGTTCCCATGAAACCATCTGTCGAGCTCGGGTGGAAACCTCAGAGAAAATTGCCTAATTAGACATAAACTTGGCATTACTTTCCCAAAATCCATGCAACTTGTGAAAATGGATTGACAGTGAGTATGTGTTAAAAAACAAAACAAAGCAAAAAAACAAACCCAACAACAGGCTTTGGGGTCACCAGCTGGAATGTGTTGTGGGTTTTTTTGTTACTTTGATGTGACTTTGGGCAAGCTACTTCTCCTCCTGAGCCCATTTATCGGTGAGGACGCAGATATGACACACCAGCACACAGGGCCATGGTGAGGGTGACCTCTGACAAGACTCTGGTGGGGCCTGGCCTTCAGAAGGTCAACAGCTGCACCCATGCTTGGGGCCGCCTTCCTGTGGCCTCAACGTCGGGGCCCAGGGAAGAGGCCAGGCTGGAACATCACCTTGTGGTTGTAAAAGTGCCCATTGATGGAGAAGCGATGTCGCCGGATCCTCTGGGCCTCGCCGGGTGCGCGGGCCCGGGGCCTCCTCTGGATCACACAAGCTGCGTCACTCTTGGTCCGCATCAGCTGGGGGGTCTCCTCGTCCTCCTCCAGGGGCTCTGTAGTGAGGAACAGGTGAGAAGGTCAGTCCGGGGCAGAGCAAAGGGGCCAGAGAACTGCCATGCTGCGGCGCGTGGGGCTTGGTTCCCTGGAGCTTTGTGGTCACACCCCGCTGCGGCAGACGGTGATGTGAAGGCTGTTCCTGGGACAGAGCTTGGGTGGTGCCCACTTCGCAGACAGGAAAGGGGGGCCCCAGACAGGACCACCTGTGTTGCCATGCCGTATGGCCACGGCCTGGGCCTCCGTCTCTGGGCGCCCTGGGCAGCTCCTCGGCAGCCCCAGCCCTGTCCTCTGAGCCCCCACTGAGTGTGAGGGGAGGACATAAAGAGGACAGATGAGCAGTCTGGACTCCAGAGTGTGAGGAAGATGCATCCTAGAGGCCCACAGGGCCAGGAGGGTGCCATGCTTGCTGTTGCTGTTCTCTCCTTTCTATAAAGCAGGCGACTCAGGCAAATTACGTCAAACAATGTCACCTCTGCAAGCTTCTGCTTCCTTTTTCTGTAAGGGGGCAGCTGAGGAGAACGCCTTGTACTGAGGAGGTATTTAGCCAGTGTTGCTCCTGAAGACAAATAAAGCCACTCTGCGCTCCTCCACATAGCTGGTCTTTCTTTTTTCTTTTTTAGAGAGGGGAAGAGAGAAAAAGAGGGGGAGGGGCAAAGGGAGAGGGAGAGAGAAAGAATCCCAAGCAGGCTCCACATCCAGCAGGGAGTCCAGCCTGGGGCTCGATCTCACAATCCTGAGGATCGTGACCTGAGCTGAAATCAAGCATTGGACGCTTTAACCAACTGAGCCAGCCAGGTGCCCCAACACAAAGCTGTTCTTCAGAGATGGTGGTCATGAGCCAAGCCCCTTACCCCGGCTGAGAGAGACGGGGTCCCAGGTAGCTTGAGGCCCCGCTTACCTGAGCTGTGTCTGGAAATCTCGGCTCTGGGTGCTGTCTGAGTACTTGGCTCCTGGGCAGGGACCCTGCCATCCTGAAGAAGTGGCTCCTTTCTGAAAAGACAGTCAAGGTGCTCATGCGGGGACAGAAAAAAGTAGCTCAAGTCACAGAGAAGAGGCTGGTGGCCTCTGAGGATGGGACACAGGCAAGAAGCAGGGCCGGCCGAGGTAAGGCTCTACTTCACACCGAGTTAATGGAAAACACTGAAAGAAAAGCGAAGGATTGCCGGGGTGTCTGCCGGAAGGAGAGGGAGTGTACCCCGCAGACCTGAGTGACATTGTCCCTGCTGCACAGACACACGGACACACGCCGTGTGCCCATGCACTCCTGGGCACCAGGCTGAGGGAGGCGGTGTGTGCGGCTGAGTGCTGAGCGGGCTCTCCGGGCTTCCCTCAGGCCTGATGGAGAGTCAGGCAGGGGCAACCTCGAGGGGCCAACCTCTGGGCCTCTGGGCCGGGCGGAGTCCAAGCCAGGGAAGCTGGCGCCGGGCCGGGGAAGGGGATGTGTGTGATGGGAAGTAGCCCACAGCGTGAGGGAGCCAGGGAGGGGCAGGCGAAGAGCTGAACCCAGGCTGGGAGGCCTCTGAGGGTCCTGCTGTCTGGCCGCTTCTGTGGCTGCTGCCCCCCTGGGGAGTGGGACCATGAGTCCCACTCGTCGCCTTTCTACGAAGCCCGTCCAAACGTTATACTCTAAGTCTGTATGGGGCGCACGGGGGGTGTCAAGGTGCCCTAAGTGCCCTCAGAACAGCAACTTTGCTTGAATTTTTGAAGGGGAAAAGGTTTCACATTTTCGCCTCTTGGAAGGATTCATTACACGCAGAAGCGAGCAAAATTCAGCAGCTCACTGCCCTTTGTTGGGGGGGAGGCGCTGGGAGGAGGCAGATGTTCATTAAGCGGTAAGGTAGGAAACGGTTTCATCACGATTAAAACATATTTCTGATACTAAAATAAACCTGATATTAAGCTCTAATAAATTTATAAAACCAAATTCTGATATTAAAATGAAAGTAGAGCAGTAGGAGGTTAAATTTGTGTGAATTTTTAAGGTAGAACAGGAGATGCCAAGAAATGTTTGTTTTGCCCAGGATGTTGGGAGTCCCCCGGCCACAGCTCCTTTCCTTGCAGATAAGGCAGCTCCTGTGAATGTATGAGAAACACAAACTGGTGTTGGGAGTCTGGAAAATTCTCTAAGAGTGAGATGATTCGGTCATCATCTAGAAAGACCACTGTTGGCAGGTGAGGCCACGGGCTTAGCAGTCACGGGGTGACAAGGATAGGGCGGGCTTGTGCTCTCATGTGCCCCATTCGGGAGCAGGGCTTTGCCCTGAGACTGAGGACACCACCCCCTGGACACTCCAAACAGTAAGCACGGGTTCAACAGGTGTCAAGGAGGGCACCTGGCCCTGCCTCAGCCAGCCCAGCACTCACAGGGGGCAGCCGGGCTGTCCGGGTGTCCAGGAGGCTGAGGAGAGGTGCACTCGCTCCCTGTCGTCCTGTATCTGGAGCCGGATAGGCCGCCTCAGTCCCCAGGCAATGTTGAGAAGTCCCTCGATGATCAAAGCGCCTTCTTCCTGTGGGGGAACCCACACAGGTTAACCTCTTTCCCCACAGCAGCCCTTCTCAGGGGTCACTGCCCACCCTCCCTGAGCCCCCCTTAAGGCCCAGCCCCTCCCCCAGGGGACTCCCCTGAACACTCTGGCCCCAAACACACCTCTCCTCCTTGGGGTCCCGTCCTCCCCTGGGGGAAGGCACACGAGCCTCTATGTGCTCCAAGGCGGGAGGCCATGGGGCTGACCAGAGGAAGCCTGAGGCATGCCCTTCCACCGCTCAGTTCACGTCTGGTCAGGGGCATGGCCTGGGACGGAGTAGCTGAGTCAGGCGTCCCACAGGAACCCAGCTGTTCTCCAGCAAGCACGTCCACACGGGTGAGGAAACACGTTCCAGAGGAGCCAGGCCACATTGACACTGGTGCCAGGTAGGGGTGCCTTCCCGCACCTGGGGAGGGGGCCCCACGGTCACCAGGTCCCACTGCGAATGTGCTCAGGGCACTGGGTTCCATGCCCACCACAGCAGGGGTGGCTACTCCTCAGAGCTGTGTCTCAGCCTCGCCCCTCTCCCCGCACTGCTCCCGATTGCCACAGGAACCACTCGAGTGGGCTGGTCCACCCCGATTTCTAAGCTGCCTTCTTTCCTGAGGGCCAGTCTTGCTTTTCTCACCACCTGCATGTTACCAGCCTCCACATCCCACTACTCGCGTGAACACTCCGAATAGCTACAACAGCTCTCGTTCTGAGTCCCCAACCAGCCTTGATCTCCCAAGGTCTGCAGATGGCACAGCTACCACCCTCCTGCCAAGCCCTGAGGTCCTAATTGACAGAACTCTCCAGAGGCACCCTCAGCCAGTTTCCCCTCCCCCCCCTCCAGTCTTTGATTCTGTTTCTGACCTCTTTCAGGCTCTTGTGTATGCGTGACCACAGCCAGGCTCTCTGCGCGCAGCCGAATCGCCCCATGCGTGTGCCTGGCCAGGCTGCTTTCAGAACAGCTCTCAGCCCCACTTTCCCCAGATCCTTCCAACTACCTGCTCCTAAGCTGCTTTGATACTAGCCTTTTGGCAATGAACGTTAAACATCATTCTCCCGTTGTTATGTATATATATATGTATTTTTTGAGCCCTGGGTGTTATACTCCCATTGCTATCTTGTGCACCACTTTAGATTTACAAATTGCATTTCTTTCTCCTTATAGGCTTTGAAAGCCTTGTGAGAATAAGGGACCTTGTAGAAACGTCTTCGTATCCCCAGAAGGGCTTACAGAGGTATCCTGCAGCATTGATTTCATGGTAAGTTAGTAATCGCTTAAAACACCCTGCTATCTACAGAGAAAATAGTTCCACTCTGTTCAAGGTTATCAAAAATACACATAGCTTTCTGGAATGACCTTGTACTGTTTGTTAAAAAAGAAAATGACAACAGTAAAAGCAGAGCACGTTTTGATGACCACTGAGGTTACACGGCCACAGACATGTAACTAACGCTCCCTACAAAGTTAAGACTGGATTGATTCCCTGGAGTTAAAGGGCAGTAAGAAACCCCAAAGTGGGGTTCGGTTCTTTGTTTTCTGTCTTGGCCTCAGATGCCTCTGTCAGAGGTCAACATGCGGGGCGCCTGGGTGCCTCAGTTGTTAAGCACCTGCCTTCAGCTCAGGTCATGATCCCAGGTCCTGGGATCGAGCCCCACATCGGGCTCCCTGCTCCACGGGAAGCCTGCTTCTCCCTCTCCC